TATATATATATATATATATATATATATATATATATATATATATATATATATAATTTCTTGTTTACCTGAATGAAATTCAAATTTAACTGGGCATCATATATTTTATCTGGCAACCCTACCCTAGAGGAACAGGCTTTGAAAGGAGATGTGGCTTAGAAGAGTACAGAGCTCTGCCACCATAGTGCTTGTTCAATGCATGGACAATGGAGGGGAAATTAGGGAAAAAGAAGGCAGAAATTCAGACCTTGCTGGAACCCAGCGCCCCCTAGTGACAGGTAGATGGCTAGCCCCATTCTGAGAAAAGGACCACTGTGCAGGAAGGGGCGAATCTCTGTAGCCAGTGTGGCCCAAAGAGACTCCACAGCAGCCGAGGGCCTTCGCACTGTCCAGAGGAGCCAAGAGCCCTGAGAACTGCCTGGCACAGCTTATTCTTGTCAGTCTTGGCAGATGAAGATTTGGGGGTTGGGGTTTGGCAAAAGAGAAAGATAATTTTTAGAGTTTGGTTGCTGCTAAGCATCCACATCTATTACATACACAAAATTCTTAGCAGAGTGTCTGACACATAGTAGATTACCAATAAATGGTAGATGTTATGATCATTAAAATCAGCCAGGACAGAATTCTGATAAAAAATGTCCCAACTTCTATTTACCTGTAAGCTACTCCCAACCCCAACTCCTCTACACTTTGGGCTGATTTTTCTGATTCCAGGTTTCTTTTTAGCTGCTATGCAGTTTGGAAGAGAAATCAGATCTCATCTCTTTATACTTTTGTAAATTAGGAGAGAAAAGGAGCCTTCTCTCCTTCCCTACAGAATATAGGCAAGGGGTGCACAAGGAAATGAAATTCATATTTAACGATTTTGTTCTTCATTCCCAAGACAGAGAAAGGGACTAAAAATACAGGCCACAGAGAAAGATGGAAATTTATTTAGATATTTTAAATCTCTAGACCTTGGCACAAGTAATCAAGAAATTATAAGATCATTTAGTGATTGTTTAAAAAAAAACAAACTCAGTCATTTTCCCCTAAAGATATAATGACAGCCTTGAATTCTTAAGTAAATTACATACATTTCAAATTGTCTTCTTTCTGATTTGAATCTAAGAAACACTAGCATGGGTGGACAAAAATGGACAGACAGGTAGACAAACAGACACAAAGATATTTTTAACAGCCAGTAAGTGGCAAATTTGGAATATAAAATTCAGGCAGTTTGACTCCAAGGAGCATATATTTAACTGCTTTGTTTTTTCTGGCATTTTTTTTTTAACTGCATACAGTAGGAGCTCTCCTAACTGACCTTCTCTTAAGGGGCTCCCAGATTTAAAAAAAGCAATGCTCCCACAATGCAGAGTGCTCTCACCCTGGAGTCCCTACCGGCCCTCACCCTAAAGTTCCCACCCCACCCCCCACCCCCAGTTAAACACTAACCAGTTCTGCTTTGCTCAGTGGAAGAATAAACCTACCACGAGCAATGTGGGTTGTCCCCAGCCTGTTTATGGTAGTTTTGTTATTCTAATTCCACAAGAAATCAAATATTGTGCAAATCAATAGGATGTGAGTGTGAATAAAGGAAGTTTATTGCATCTATGAAAACCAGGTTAACTGCTTAGAAAAGCCAATAAAGGCAAGTTGTTATCAGAGAAATTGTTGGTGTACTAGATGGCACTACAAAAAAATTGAATTTTTGAGATCGTAAAAATCAATAAGGATTTCTGTACTCAGATTGTTTCAAAAGTGGCTAAGTTATCTTCCCACTTTAAAGAAATGGGAAATTATAGAACATATACTATTTGGGTGATTGATGAAGGAAATATACAGAATTCCAATCAACAGGGCTCATATTCCAAGAAGTCTTGGCCTTATGCCAAAGCTTGGAAAATTAATGTTCATTTGTTATGTTTTAAAAATTAAAATTTTTAATTTTAAGGACATATCTTTTTAGAAATAATTTCTTGCTCTCAGTGACTTCAGATCTGGTCAATCCGTATTCAGATCCCTAGGGCTTCTACTGTAAATACACATGTATTTGCATCAAATTGTTAAAAGAGATGAGGGGCAAGATAGAAAGAGGGAGGAATGTTCACTTTTTACTTCATATCCTTCTACATTGTTTGGAATCAATACTAAATAATTTTGATTTTATAAGTTTTGTATTTCTGGTTTCTAATGAATCGACACCAAAATCTTTTCTTGAGAGAGGGTGGGGGGTAGAGGAGGTGAGTGTATGGAACAAGCAGAGTAAAGATTAAAAAAAAAAAAAAAAAAGATCAAGTTTAGAAAAGATCCTCCTACCTTCTTGTAGGGCAGAGCCTACCCCAGTAACTGGAGCCCTACTGCCCACAATCTCAGGGCAGAGCAGGTTCTTAATCTTGCTTCCCACTATGGAGAGTTGCAAAAAGGATTCCAGACGAACAACATGCTTCCCAGGGGGATATGAAGCTATCTTTTCCAGGTCCTCACTCTCTGAGGCAAGCTGGGTACCCACTGCATAGATCGTAACCCCTGTCCTGCGGAGGAGAGAAGCCGGTCTGGACACACTGTCGTGAGAGACGCCTTCCGTGATGACCACAGCGATCTGCTTCACACCTTGCTTAGACCGGCTGCCCTTCTCCTGAATGAAAACCTCATTCCTTAGGAAATCCAAAGCAGCACCAGTCTTGGTCCTCCTTCTTCGTTCCTGGTAGGTTAATTTGTCCAAATGCTCCAAGATTTGGGCTGGATTCTGAAATGTATCCAGTGAAAACTCAAGTCGTGGTTCCTCACTGTAAAAGACCAAGCCAATTCTCACAATAGAAGGATGAATGCTTAGAGAGTTGATGGTGGTCTTCAAAAAATTGACAACTCGTTGGAAATTAGATTGCCTAACCCTGCTGAGGTCTTCAATGAGGAAAACCAAGTCAGCAGGAATAGGAGTTGCACATGCTATAAACAAACAAAAACAAAAAGAAGGCCTTTAGCATGAGAACAGAGTAATAAAGACAACACTTATTTTGTATTTAAAAATTGTATTATGCTATATTTTTATAGCATGTTTATACATTTATATGCAATATTTATATATTTATTTTATATACTATAATATTTAGTATTACAAATTGTAATAATATATATCATACTAACTTTTATTAATACACTTTAGAATTTAATGGAAGCCTTTATGACCATAAATTGGCAGGATGGTCATATGTATCTCAAAGTTTTTCACATGAAAGAGTATCCTCACTTGTAAAATATGTAAATATAGTTAGAGCCACAAGAAAGTGCTTTAAGATCATTTTTCAATTCATCTAAGTCCACTAGAAGCATGTGAGTCTTGCTTGACTAGCTTTTTCTTCATTTTTCGAGTTTCAGGAAATTTCTGGGTCAAATTCTCTTTTATGGGCCTGAAACCTCCTGGATTTAACCATTTTTCCTGTCTTGGTAAAAGATGGAAATAATACTTGTTACTATTAACTTTTGCACCTTTCTCTGACAAATTTCATGTCATTTCAACAGAGACATGAAATATGGCAAATTCCCATGAAAATTTGTTCAAAAATCGGACTAAATGGCTGTTTTATTTTGCTATGTAAGAATCTTCCCTTTAACCTGCCTCAAAGGGGATAATGGAGTTAAGACCGCATTAAACTCCCTTTTAAAAGGAGTCCAGGGCCGGCCGAGTGGCGCGATGGTTAAGAACTGGNTGGAATCATCCATGAAAACATTCTCTGGGTCAATCAACCTCTGAAAGGCAAGTCTTGAGAAAGGAGCAAAAGAAACAACCCAGACTGTTGGGAAAAGGAGTCCTTGTCTCTGGACCTTGCTGTTTTGGATAAAAGTTTGAGGAAATGAAATGAGATTGAGGATGACCTCAGCCATATTGAAGCACATTGGCAACAGAGTAGAGAGATCCCTGTGCAAAACACACATAGAAAAGAGTGTGTTCTATTTCATTAGAACTACGGTCTAACCAATATTGTTCTCTGCTTCCATTTCCCTTTTGATGTGCCCATATCTTCAGTAAGCTATGTTTATACATGCCAGTCTGGTTTCACCGATCTACAAAGAATAAAGAGAAGAGTTGTGAGGACTTTTTAGAGACAGAGCTCTGAGAAGGTTCAGGCCTCTGGAGGCCAGAGTGGTGACAGCCAGGGAATGAGTAAAAGAATCCCCAGGGGAAAGTGAACCACAGCACATTAGGAGTTCAAGCCAGTTGTCCTCCCAGGGTGATCTCCTCTCTCTCCCCCAGCTAGAAGGATCAGTTTTATTTTATTAAGAGAGCCAACAAGGTCCCTGACACCTACAATGGGCTTGTGGATCAAATAACAAACACTCTGTCACTCACCTTGTGGAATGCAGACCTCATAAAGAATTTCCTTCTCCAGATTCTGCAGAGACTCAAAATTTGCTTCACAGTACACCTTGCGGTCGTCATTAGTAATCTCCAAGAGCTGAGAGCGTTTGGCTTCTCCCACCCCAATGGCAAAAACAACTATGTTTCTGTCCCTGAGGGCCTTGGCTGGTATGGCTACATTGTCCTGGGAGGCCCCATCTGTAATCACAATCAAGTACTGATGAACACTGGGTCTCCCTCCTCTTGAACTGTCAAAAAAAGGCCGAGTGAAATTCAAGGCTTCCCCAGTGTGTGTGCCATCTTTCATTTGCTGAACATTCAAGATGGCCCTGTGAATGTCCGCCTTTAAGGAGTATTGGTTGAGCCTGAATTCTGCCTTGGTGGTTGTGCTGAACTGCAAAAGGCCAATCTGAATTTCATCATCACCAATATTAGCTTGGTCCACCATCCTCATCATGAATCCCTTCATCTTTTCAAAGTCTCCTGGGGAGATGGATTCTGAACCATCTATCAGGAAGATAATGTCAGCTTTCCTATTCTTACACACTGGGGAGAAAAGAGGAGCAGAACAGAACATTCATTCAGAGCCTGAAACCAATTAATTACAAGTCCGCAGAGAGAGTCTGAGGTGGTATATACACAACATGAAAATATTTTTAAAGGGAGTAGAAGAGGAAGTCAGCAAAATAAATTTTCTGTGACCCAGCACAAACCAGTCTCAAAATAAGACACAGCTGTATCATAAAGATACAAAAATTTGACTGGCTTGGTTCATTCTAGGTCACGGTCACTCTGTGTCCAATACTCACTTTTGGACCAGTGAATCCACACTTGAAGAATGAAGCCTATTCACATAGATTAGACACATATACGTGGAGAGAGAGAAAGAGAAAGAGAGAGAGAGAGAGACAGAGAGAGACAGAGAGAGAGACAGAGAGAGAGAGAGAGACTGAAGCAAAAAATCCTTACTCTCTGAGGAGCAGATGTCTCGCACCACTTCTTGTTGGATAGCCTTCAAGGAATCAAACTCGTACACAAAAAACACCTTGTCTTTAGCTATCTCCTTAAGCTCATCAGTGTTAGCGTTTCTGACTCCAATAGCATAAATGATGACACCGTCTCCCCTCAGTGCCTCTGCTGCCTCAGCCACGGGGTCTGCAGATTTACCGTCAGTGATGATGATGAGATACCAAGGCATGTTGCGGCGAGCAGTGTCTGCGAAGACCTGAGCCATGTTACTCAAGGCCTGACCTGTCATGGTGCCACCTCCTCTCTGCTGGATGTCATCAATGGCTACCTTCAGCCTTGTCACACTGGGATACTGGCTGAGGGTAAATTGACTATTAATTCCATCTGAGTACTGAACGACTCCAAATTGTACTCTGTCGGGCCCAACATGGAACATCTTTATCACCTCATTCATGAACGCCTTCACTTCAAGAAAATCGTCATGTCCGATGCTGGCAGACCCATCAATAAGGAAGTAAATATCTGCCTTCTCGATGTACACACAGCCTAGGCAATAAGAAGCAGCAACCCATTAGAACAGAGGTGAAATGGTGTGTAGCCAAAGCTATTGATCCCAATCCCCACCCATATTCCCTCAGCACTCATCATTCCGTTGAGAGCCAGCAGCTTTCTACTGAAAGCACCTGTGACTCTGCCTAGGGATATTCTTTGGCCAGGAGCACCATCAGCTCATATACTAGGCAGACCAGAATGCCTGGGCATGAGTTTGGGAGCAGCCACCCTCCAATGATTGACAGGAATTAGTGGATAAATACCCCAGCTCCCTTGCTTTTTGGGTGGGACAACTCTGAGGTGAGCTCTACATAGTTTCCCTGAGTCCCCAGCAGAACTGAGCCCAGACGCCTATAGCGATTACCTGCTCACTAACTCAGCCTGGACTGGCTGCCTTCCCTTCCTGTCTCTCATCTCCACTTTCCTACCAGTGTGCCCTGGTGTCGCCTCCCAGATAGACCACTTGTATCCATATCCTTGTCTTAGAGTCTGTTTCTGGTGAACCCCACTTGAGACATGAAGTAAATATTATTTGACATTTCTCAAATGGGGAAGTTGAGAACAAGCTAAGAGTAAATGGCAGAGCACATCTGAAACTATGAGTTGTCTCAGTATCCAATATTTCTGCTTCCCAGGTAAGTCATACTTTTTAAGCATATGGGCAAAAGAGTGACCCTTTTTAAATATATGGGCACTTTCTGAAATTTAATTTAATTTAATTAATTCAAATGAATTTAAAACTTTCTGCTTTAAATGAGCCTTACTTAAATGAATTGCTTTGTATTAAGGCCTAGACTCCAAAGGGCAGAACAGCTCTACATTTAGATCCTGTCTCCACCACTTACTAGCAGGCTTGGCCCTTTGCATCTCAATTTCCTAATCTGTAAAACAAGAATCTTGACACCTATTCTGAGTTTATTGTGAGGATTACATAAGATTATGGAAACATAGCAGAGCTGAGTATTTAAAATTCACGGTTAAGATCACTCGGTGTTTTATTTTTTGTCATATTGCAGATTCCTCAAAAAGAATGAAACATAACTATCTCCTCACTCCTTTGAGTAAGAGTGGCCCAGCCTTGTGTTATTAATCTCTGACCCAGAAAAGAATCAAGAGCCTTTTTGTGTTTCCTGGCCCAAAGGGAAGTGGTCTGAGGAAGTGGGTTCACTTGCTCTAGCCTTCATTTGGAAGGACATTGGTCCAACCAGTATGAGACATACTTACAAACACACACACACA